ATGCTTGAATAAAACTACTGTCCAACTTTTTCCCCCACTTAAACACTACAATGATATTAAATATGAGCATTTTTCTGTGAGAATTTTAAGTCTCAATCCACCACTATTCAGCTTTTACGCCAGTGGTTGGGAAAGGAAAAACAAAAGAAAATGCAAACGGGTAAATGGAATATCCAAATTATTTTTTGGGACCCCATTTCAAAGCTTGCCAATTTAGGTTTTGATCTTGATAAGGTGGTTACTGTTTTTGATTGGCCTCCGCGAATAAGAGGCCTGGCTGCGGCCTGGATGCAGGGATATGTTTCGATACAGGCCACCAATATGTTTTGGGCTTTTGAACCGGTTGACCATTCTATCCTTCTTTTTGTATTTTCCCTTTTCCCCCGGCCGAAGGGAAATCTCTGCCAACGACGATGCTTCCGCCCCGCCAAAAACCTAGCAACCTGGGCTGGTGAAAACCATAACATTTTGAAAGCCGCTGACGTTTCCTCTGTCCCTGCTTGAGAGTACACATACCAGTGTCTAACCAGCATGGGATCCGAAAAGCGCTTCTTGGAGAAGCTGAATAAGAAGAAGAAGAAGAGTAAGAAGAAGAGTGATGGTAGTTCGAATTCAGTTCCCTCACCTGGGGTGCCAGAAAATCATGGCGGCGGCAAAACCATCCGCGGCGGCAAGGTCTTATCCGACCCTCGGTTTTCATCTCTGCACACTGACCCTCGGTTCCGGGAGCCTCCGAAGCGCAAAACGAAGGTGGCGATTGACTCGCGATTTGATCGCATTTTCACTGATAAGAGCTTTTTACCGTCTTCTGCTCCGGTGGACAAGAGAGGGAAGGTCAGGCAGACAAATTTGCGGCAGAGTTCTCTTCGCCATTATTATAAAATGGATGAAGAAGGAAAACGAGAAGATGAAGAGGATGTAGAGGAGGGAAGCGACGAAGAAGACAAAGAGGAGGAAAGAGGACAGCGGTTGGTTGAATCCGATGGGGGAACACCGGTGGAAGAGTCACTTTCCGAAGACGAGGACGATGCCTATGAATTGGCATCCTCTACGGATACAGATGGAGATGAAAGTGCTGATGAGGAACTTTACAATGGAGAATTGCCTGAGATGCAGGTATGTCTTTTGTGCTTAATTTTGGAACTCTGAACTCTGTGTAAACAATTGGAAGAAATTCAAGAAGGTTGCAAGCTGTGCCAGTTACGTGTGTACTCGATCATCAGGGAGAAGCATTGTAGGTGTGAGTTCTTCAAAGAATTCGGGCTTAGCTCCTCTAAACTTCGTTACCCTATATTTGCAAGAGGAGAAAGGGATGAGATTTTAATGGGACCACTTTCTCTTTGCTTTATGGGAACTTTACGATAAACAATTGAGATTGTTTCCTCAGAATTCTTTGTTGTTCTCGGCTTAACTCTGCAACTTTCGGTTTCTCAGCTTCTTCTTCTTTTTTGTTTTTTAATATTTTTTGACATTTTCTTTACGGGATTATTCTTTGGACAGGAGGAGGTGCCAGAAATTGACAAAGAAACTCATAGGCTTGCTGTTGTTAATATGGACTGGAGATATGTGAAGGTATGCTATTAACACTTATCTATGTAATTAATTTTATTGGAATGTCCATTCATTTATCTCATATCACACACGGAAAATTTAACTCTTGGAATGAGCTCCTCTTGCACAAGTCCTTGGGTGTTAGGAATGGGAAAGCAAGATCTAACCTAAGTGCGGTAGAATTTCTGTTACCTCCCGGGGTGTTGTAAATTGAACAAGAATTATGGGCTTTTTACACTGATTATTTTATGGTTTATATTTTTATTCTAGCTACCTTTCCTTTATTATTGGTCTGAGGTACTTGTTTCATACTTCAGGCTGTCGACTTGTATGTGTTATTGAGTTCATTTGTTCCACCAAATGGACAAATAAAATCTGTAGCTGTCTACCCATCTGAATTTGGCCTTCAACGCATGAAAGAAGAGGAAGTTCATGGTCCTATTGGCCTCTTCGAAGATGAAGCCACTCAAAGTGACCAAGATAGCAGCGACAATGAAATTGAAAATGAGAAATTGCGTGCGTACGAGAAAAGCAGGATGAGGTGACCATCGTCTAAAGTTAAAATTACTTGTGTTTAGAAATCTTGACTTGATTGGCGTTAGTCATAATGGATATATGGAAATTGAAAATTATTTTTACTTTCATTGAGTAAACCTGCTGACTAGTAAAATTTAGCCAGTTTTATTTAAGGTTCTTAGTTTCTTTTTTTTTTTTGTCCGAGTTGGTGAGTACTTCAAGGATTCAGTCTTTAGTCATATTTGTACGTTCTAATTTGTTACACATTAATTTTTTTATCCTTTACAGGAAGGTGGGAGATGATGTATATAACTTAAATAATCTTGTAGCTACGCAGCTGCCTTGTAGCAGTTCTCTTTTATTACTATGTAGCATGGAGTCCAGTGTTGCAAATATTATGTTTCATAACTACCTCACGATTATCTGATGGTGATTAAGGCTAAACGACCAACTCGAGGGTTATTCATATTTTGTCTCTTTGGAGAGTGTAGGTTGGAGTCAAGCATTTTATTGATGGTACTTGTATGATGCATCTCTCATTTATAACTTAGAAAATCAATTTACCTTTTCAAAGTTCCCGTTTAGTGCTTATTGTAGTTATGCAATAGGGATGTTTATCATGTCTGCAGCTCCCCACATCACTCTGCTTTCCTCTCTTGTTTATGCATCTTGGTTCTTTCCCTGGCTTTCTAGGTACTATTATGCTGTGGTGGAATGTGACTCAAGTATGACGGCGGACCACATTTACAAAGAATGTGATGGGCTGGAGTTTTTACAATCTTCAAATGCACTCGATTTAAGGTTTATTCCTGATTCCATGGAAATCAAAAACCCACCTCGTGATGTTGCTACTGAGGTATCTGTCTTTGTTTCCATTTTGCTTTTTAGGATACCCATTGCATTTGAGGAATAAAGTGGGCTATTCAAAACCAGATTCTTTGCTGCACAAACTTAGTTAAAGATTTTGAGCGCTTTCTTTTCTTAGGCTCCGGCAAACTATGAGGGTAAAGATTTCTACACACGAGCACTCCAGCACAGTAAAGTGCATCTTTCTTGGGATGAGGATGAACCTCTTCGTGCAAAGACCTTGAGACGTAAATTCAATGATGACCAGGTCAGTGTGCTTCGTGTGTAGGGATATTGTATTGGTCTTTCTGTGGTGTTCTTTCTGTTGAATTTGGCTTCTTCTTCTCATCAATTTTCTTTTCTGCACCCTTTGATAGCTAGCTGAGTTGGAATTGACAGAATTCTTGGCATCTGATGTGAGTGAAAGCGATGACAATGATGAGGAGACGGAGGATAACAATGAGACAGAGAATCATTCTGATAAAAAGACAAGGAAACTAGAAAAATATCGTGCTTTACTGGAGTCTGGTGATGGTTCAGATGGAGATGGTGAAGAAGATGGTCAAGATATGGAGGTAACCTTCAATACTGGTTTGGAAGACCTTAGTAAACATATACTGGAAAAGAAAGATAAAAAATCAGAGTCAGTTTGGGAAGCATACCTGAGGAAAAGACGTGAGAAAAAGAGGGCTAGGAAAAGTAAATCAAAGCATTCATCATCTGATGATGATATTAGTGACACTGATCAAGATGCAACTGAGCAACCTGATGATTTCTTCATGGCGGAGCCTCCCATCAAGAAGAGAAAGGAGGAAAAAAGTAAAAAAGAACAGAAGCACCAGGTCGTAGATGGGGCAGATAAAGCAACCAAAGAAGAGCTTGAGTTATTACTTGCTGATGACCAAGGGGCAAATAATGGTCTCAGGGGATATAATTTGAAGCTTAAGAAGGCCAAGGGCAAAAGGGCTAAGGAAACTGTGGATGAGGCAAAAATACCGAGTTCTGACCTTGATGATCCACGTTTTGCAGCTCTTCTCACTTCACGGGATTATGCATTGGATCCCACTGACCCACAATTTAAAAGGTATCTCCTGTGCAATATCTCTTTACGTTCTTATAGACAAATTGTCGCCGTTGGTTTAAATAGAATGGCAGAAGTTCTAGGGTCTTAATAGGGTGAAAAATAGAATGTTCTATGCGGAAGATCACACGTGAACGGTCTTGTTTAGCTGGTTGTATTTAACTGATGACCGACTTTTATGAGTTTTTTCTTTTATTAATTGAGAAGGTTGGCTGATCTTGATCTTCTTAATTGGACTTCCCTGTTTCCAAGTTCAACTGAATTCTTTCATGCTAACAAACTATTTTGGCCTTTACAGGAGTGCAGCTTATGCGCGGCAGAGAGCTCATAAACTTCAGAAGGGAGATATTGACATTTTGGCGGAAGAGGAGCAGTTGGAACTTTCTAAAGGAATTGAGTTCTCATCTAATGATGCTGGCGTAAAGAAGGGGGAGGAAGAAGGATCGGATGTTCTGGAACCAAAGAAGGAGAAACATGAGTTATCATCATTGGTCAAATCGATTAAGATGAAGTCAAAGCAAGTACAGTTACCCTCATATGATAAGACAAAGAGAGATGGTAAATTACAATCTGGAGGTATGAAGAAAAGGAAGCACTAGAATTCCTATCACTGGTTCAATCAACTGATGCGAATGATCCATATTTAACATGGAAACCCGCGTTGAAAATGGAGTGTCCTTTTGTCAAGAGGGTGTACTTAAAAATGTCACCGGTTCGTAAGGCATCTCTCACATGATTTTGAATCCACTTTTTATGATGCAAACAGTTACATAGGCATTTCATCAGCCCATTTGAATTGTTTCATATAGATTCATTGAGGTTATGATATATGCATCCGCTTTTAATGTTCTCGTGAATTCTGATAATCAATTTATAGGGACATATTCTTTGTCTTTGGGGTTCCGTTATATTGTTTTTCCTTCCCATATCACCATGCTTCAATCTGCTAACAATTTGAGGATTTGAACTGGCGATAAGAAGGGGCCAAAAAAGGGGGAAAACCAGCAAAACCTAAAATGTGTAAATTCTATTATATATCAACACACTGTATACATTATGTACAAACACATTATTCTAATAAGATCTAAAGAATCGGAAGCAACAATGCTTCTCCTGTGCTCGACCAAACTAGAAGCCTATAATGCTCTCGAAAATTTAAAATAAAGGGAATGCCTTTAAATAATACAAAATTGATTAACTAAACAATGGCTAAAAGCGGAAACAGAACCGCCATAAATGTGAAAGTAGAAGGGTTCCGAATGGGTGGGCCATTTGACTGGTTAGATGTGTCTTCAGGATTTGCAGCAAGAGCAGGTGTGTGAGATTTGTTAGTAGGTGATTTGCTGGAGTTGGAAGGTACGTCATCGTAACCTGAGGAGAATCATCTCATTGCAGTTAGCAATTATCAACATAGATGATTAACTCGTGATTAAAAAATTGCAAAGCTTGGACCCATGACAGGTAAATCATACTCACAATTGGATTCTTTCCAACCAAGAATCATGTTGTCACGATCAAAGGCTATGCTGTAACCAGTCATGAAGTTCTCTGCACGAAGAGTTAGATATGATGATTGTCGCAGGTGGAAAATCATTACTCTTATATTTAGGATTGGAGGAGTAGAAAACATGAATTTTCCAAGTGCTAACGCTTACGAAATAACTCCACAGAAGCTAGATAAATTGTTTATTGTGAAGCGTTGGTGCACGATTTGTGTGATGACCACAACAAATCATGCAGAGCATGTATCGCGCGTTATGATAAAATTGTATGTGAAACTTCATGATCATATGCTTTTATCAAGTGACTGTTTTATGGGAAAAAGGGTAGATCAATGAAACACTCACGTCCAATTATATTGACGTCATCACTTTTCACGATCCCGAGGCAATATCCAGCTGGAACATCCTGCAGAGGGGACATCACAAGCATTAGGGGACTGGGAAGAGCTATCAGATATCAGAATGTATTAGTTGGACCATTGTCCTCACCCCATCATAAATCATTAGCAGTGGATCAGTGACATAGTAATTGTCCCCACCCTTCATGGTAAGATTCAACACAGGGACTTCGAATTTGGTCTGATTTGAACTGCAGAAAATGCGAGTCAGTCTGGCTATTTGAAAAGACAGCTAAGGAAGCCGTGGTTTCGCCACAGAAATTTCAAACCTTAATTCATAGCAGTATTCAAAGGGGAGATCTTCGCCAGAACCTGATGAATGTCGGTTTTCTTTAATCAGAGAATCGAACTGCAAAACAAGAGCAACTGAGTTACTCAGGACATGAATAATGGAACTAATGAAGCCATTTTCAATAGCTACAAGTTACTTACACTCGTAGTAATTTGTGTATAAGCTGGGCCGTTTAGGTATGTAAATGAGGTACCAGTGTCAAAGATTGCGTAGAACTCAAGAGCCGCAGTATTTCCTCCAACAATGATTTGAGTGATGCTGATGTTGTAGGTTGGTCTGTCAAAAGATGTTTACAGGGAAATGTGCATAATTTGTGTGAAAGCTATACACGGGAATTTCTACTTTCTTAACTGTTGATGTAAGTATTAATTTTTTAGATCGCAAGTATACAACGGGCAACGGCCACTTACTGTGATGATCTGATGTTGAATGGTGTTTTTCCCTGGTCTGAGCTGCCATTATCTCCAAACCTGATTCTTCCGACACCATCAGCTCCAAAACACATGGAAAATGAATTCGAAGTGAGCCCTTCTCTAGCTAACATGCTAGGGACTGAGATACTACGCATACCGAGTCCAAGAAGACCATTTGGAGCTGCACCGCTCAGGAATGAACCAGTCTGAATTTGACCGCATCTGCATGGGTGTTAGATTACATCCAGGTTAATAGTAACTAATGATATATATGAAAGAGAATCAGACAACCATAATAATGAAATGTTTTCCAAATATTGCTATTGAAAACTTCACTATTTTAATCATTTGCCAGCTAAAGGTTTCATGCGCATAGACTCTGTTATGAGCATCAACCTTCCCCGAGGAAAAGCTTTTAGCAAAATGCTTGCAATGTTATTTACCCCAAAGTAATACGCGCGTCATCTTCTTTTTTCTGATTATCATCTGTAATTAAGTGCAAAACATCCTCTACCAGAACCCCAGAAGATGAAGTTCCGTTTGAAAGATATTGAATCTGATATGGACAACCACTGTCAGATGAAGGGCACCGTGTTTGTTGTTCACAGAAGGTGCTGTTGCATAGCACCTTCTTGCTCGTGGATGATGCATCAGGACCATAGATATTAAGTTTAATATCCTGTCAAATAGAAGTATGAGGAAAATAATTACCACCAAATGGGAACTTTCCCACAAATATTTAAGACTTATCATGAACACAAACTTGGCAAAATGACCACAATCAAAGCGATAGACACATAACCTCCAGTAAGCAAGTAATCTGCTAAAAACAGACCTTCATATATGGTCTTTTCGTGGCAAAGCAAACTAAAATCTAGTATTAAGGTGACAAACGTTAGTCAGACTAACATGTAGCTTGAAGCTGCTAGAGCAAAGATGGGTATGTTCTTTTGTCTAATACTTCTCCAGTGTACCAATAACTTAAAGTTGTGTTTGAATTAAACAACGCACTGCATAGGAGGGGCTGGATGCTTCATTTTGCCTAGAATATTACAAGAATCTTTCCATTGAAATGAAATTTCATAGATGAAAATTTGCCAGGGTGTCTGGTTTGGACAAAATGCACTTCTAAAAAATAGTCGAGACAAAACTTTTCTTACATACATAATACGTATATCGTAAAATTACTTTTAAAATTATGATTTAGTTTTCACCCAAACACTTCCGCGTAATCCAAAACTTTAATTTAATAGGTGGTTAGTGACTTGCAGGATATATTTCTGCTTCTCCCTTCTCCCTCTCCTAACAAATAACCGTTAATTAAGAATATGCAACCTCTGCAAAGGAAGGAAAAAACCGAAGAAAACCTCAAAGTAATTGAAAACGAAAGCAAGAGATGACAAAATTGATAACCGCGGCGTACCTGACCATTTTCTGACTGCAGCGATTGCACACAGCTGGTACAATTGCATGGCAACCAGAATAAGTCACTACCCGTATCCAATGCCACAAGAAAGGATAAAGCTGGTGTCCCAACGGAAACATTGGCATAATATAGACTGAAATCCAAAATAGAGGCAAATCATCAGTAACAACAGTTTTACTCAACAAAGGGTCCTGGTAACAGAATCCGCCGTGCTCTGTGTTCAAACTATTTTAGTTTCAGCAATAATTTCTATACAGTTATTCTAAATGTAAATATGTCTTACATATGGGCATTCTGAAAGAAGCATGGACATTGTGACAATTAATAAAATACGATATAATCATGTATAATCAATCTGATAAACACTGAGGTGCTGCAGAGACAGACACGTCCTTACTCAAATGTCGTTGCATGGGAGGGTATCAATGCTTCTTTCTTGGCCAATAGAAGGGTTGTCATTTTTTCCCCGGCCAAAGAGGGTATCAACGTTAACTCAAAAGAAGACTGCCTAAATCTATCAAACTGAAAAATATCTTTCGACCTACAGAATACTCTAGGCCAATTGAGTTACTCGGGGATATTATCTGAATTTCAAGCTCAACTCAGAATGCAGATGGCCAGATATTATCTAATCCGAAAGGAAAATCAAAAATCGTGAAAGTGAAAGAATAAAATTTTTTAGCGGTTGAAGAAGTCATACTATCCAAAGGAGTTAAGCCGATAAGTTTTATTGCCGCCGTCAAACGTTAGAACCGTCCGATCGCCATCGGCTAGTCCACGGCCTCGGAATATACGGTCTCGGTGAGACATAGCAACATAGTATTCCCGACTTCCCTTCTCCGGCAGGTCTTGAACACCCAGAATTCCCTTAATCGGATCGGAGTACCTGTGGTGGACATCGAACCCGAATGTCCGGAAACCATAACATCTCTGAGAAGCTAAACTCATCACCAAGAACAGCAATCTATAAAGCGAACTACGACTGAAAGACCAAGCCATGAGTTTAAGCTGTATGGAGAACTGTTGCGGAGAAAGAAACTAGCTGAATTTTCCCGGAATTCTCTGCTCAACTGTGTGACACGACGGCTAGTGTCAGGATGCGTATGCCGGGCACCGCAAAAATATGGAAGGCCTCGGTCGGTGACGCAAGCGTGAAGCTTACAGAGAGAGAAAGGGAGGAAGATGGATTGGACGCTGTTTAATCCAGCCTTCTGGCCAGGAGTCCAAGTTTTCGACGACGAATACATGGACGTAAGGTGGGTCCTAAGTTTAAATATTATACGATTTCCCCCTGATTAGTAAACTCATGGCTCATCGAGCTATGATTGATTGAGAAGTTTTATGTTTGCTCCTGTATAATTCCATCTGGGAGCCTCTTACTCTCGTAAACAAATTAATTTTGAGATAATTTTATAAAACTGATTTGTAATTTTAAACTAAACATACTAATTTTAATTATAAAAAAAATGCTTATACTATAAATTTTATAAAGTTAAGACCCTCTTCGCTTAACTTTTGCTATACTGTACCTTTAGTGAAAACATTATTTTAATTTTTATGTGTGAAAAGGAGCACTTTGTGCGGGAAGGCCAACTTTGAATAATTCATCGTCCAAGACGAAAAGAAATATGATCATTGTATTTTACAAATTAGTCACCAAGATTCTAGAATGCAAAGACCTACCTAACACATTCTTTAAACTCCCGTAATGAGTATATTTGGGATTTAAATTGAATTTCCATGAATATGAATTTTGGATGTTGCATGACAGCATAGGGTTTGAAAAATTCAGTCTTCATAAACCAGTAATACAATTCGATACTTAGTTTACATTTTAAATTAATAATATTTTATTTTTATGTATTAATTTAAGGGAGAATTGTAATAAAATCCTAAAAAATAAACATAATTACTATAAAGTTCCAATGATAATTGAGCAATTTGTAATAACAAGTTATAGAGTAAAAAATAATAAATCCTCACTTATCAATTATTATTAGGACTTTTTGCTAGTTATTTTTTTTTCATGAGACTCTATTGCAGTTCTCCTTTAATTTAATTCATCACAATAGCTGTGAATTTTATCACCAGAAATTTTAAGCGAAACGTTACCCGTATTGGAAGTATTCAATTAGTAATTCAATATAAAACATCAAAAATATAAAGCCCGTACTATCATAAATTACGAATAGTATCAATAATTTTAAATTTATGTAAATATAAGATGTATGATACTTAGTTTCAATTTCAAATAATAAGGTTAATAAGGATAGTAGAAAATTATAATTTTTTCAATATTAAATATAATTAAAAAAATTAATTAAGTTAATTATTTATTATAATATAGAAAATATCTCTTTTTTTAATTAAAAAGTGTTTTTTTCCTCGGAAAAAAGGGGGGGTGGGTTATGTATGAATGCAAAATAAAGTGAAAAAGGAGGCGTTCGGGTGGTTACGGGTGGGGTAAGGAAATTGACGCCATCACCTGCTGATGTGGGGGGCAACAGAAGAAACCACCTGTCGAGATCTGTGAACTGCCCCGTCTGAGGTCGCCGTCACCACAAAGCGATGTCGTTTTTCTTTCATTTCTAAGGAAAGAGCACAAGCGGTTAAGCTACATCTAAATTAAAAATAGCGGCGGAGTTTTGTGGTTGCGTCTTACTCACCCCTGCCACGTGGCTCCTCATCTGTCACTTGCGCCTCTGGCCGGCTAACATTTCTTGTTTTGTGAACGCTTTGCCCTCCTCAGCTTCGTCATTTAATTTAATTTAGTGCCTTGTCGGTCAAACATGTCGTCCTTCGTTTCTTCTTTCAATCAAGTTTTAACAAAACATTCTACGGTATTATTATATTATTAAATAATTTTGAGGAACTCAACATATTAAACGTACGCGTGGTTGAATTTGATGGAAGAAGGTGCCTAGTTAGAAAGCATAATGACAGAGTTGCCATGACTTCTAGTTTCGATTTCCAACCCCGAAAAGTCGGGGGTTTGAAGGGTGGGGTTGCGTGGTTAGGCCATCAAGAGGAAGTTTCCGGGAGAGGGACGTTGGTTGGTTCTTACTCTGTTTTCATTTTCAACCCCCAAATGTGAAAAACATAAATGAAAGGAGAGGAGAAGAACCAAAAGAGGCAAGCCCCACCCACTTGCTTCCAAACCCAGCGTATCAAAACCATTCTCATCATCCATTTGGTCGTACTCTTGAGCTATTTGACCTGTCAGCGTGGAAGGTTTTTCTCTCCCTCTCGGTTAAATTTTCCTTTGACATTTGATATCCCAACGTTGGACGTTTGCGAGGGTCAGTTTGCTCCCCAGTTTTTGCTTCCAGAAGGCCGTCACGTTTTGACTCGTTGCGCTGTGCTGAATGATTCAGATCTTGGAATCCGCCATCAAAGCCTTCACCACACGCGGCTTTAATTAGCCTCACCTAATTAACACCTAACTCACTCACTCGTCACATTCTGCATCAACTAAACAACAAACTGTTACAGCGTCATCATCCCTGGCAACTCCCCTATTTTTTGATTCACGATTGAGACAGCGTTTGTCAACATTATAATATCTTACGGTTCTTTTCCTAATATATATAAAGAACACGCCTTCTTTAATTTAATATATAATTATCATGACAAAGCAAATGGTTGGGTTGGATCATGTTTAACACGGAACTGAGTTTTCTAGGAAATATTACACGTTATCTCGTTTAACAAAATGAAGTCCATTGTAAAATTCTCTGATTCAACGCTAAAAGGAGGCATCTATGAATTGTGTGTCAATGAATTAAAAAGTTCTGAGGGTCTTCAAGGGTCGAAGTCAAGAAACTGTTCTGGCTCCATCATCCCAAGCATGGTTCAATACAAGCAAAAGGGTCCATACTCCATAGTGATAGTTCAGCCGTGAGAGGATTTGCAGATCCAAGATTACGCATGAAACCCCACACAAATCTGCCTTCATTATCTCTAATGACCCCACCGCATATCCTACAATGTAATTAAACAAAGAAGGAATTGAACTCGTAACAACCCCCCAACAAAGAAAAAGAAAAAAGATGGAATGAATTGAACTCCATCTACATTTAGATTCACCCAACCCAAATTATGGTTGCAAACCATTAATATATTGTAGTCATTATGCTCTTTTCGCAAGTCGTTTCCATGCTTTGAAGTGCCACTGTTGTCTGCAAGGGTATTATTCAGACTTCTCGATCTTACCCTCATAAACTCTTTCATTTCTTCTTCCCCGCATTAGCTAGCATATGATACACACACACACACACACACACATTAAAGAAACTCAATTTTCCAATTTTCGTCTTCCAATTTTCATCTGAGTAAGAAATACAATGGTGAACAACTTCAAACGTATTATAGCTTGGAAACTCCTTTCATAAGCCTTCTCTAAATCATTCATAGCAGCCATGGATCATTTCTTCAGAAACGATAACATTTTGTATCTTGTGCCTTCCCGGGACAAACTGCATTGATACGATCAGCTTACGCAGATCTTGTGCTATGGATCATCTTACGCTGAAATGTCTTCATTCTATTCGCATTTATCTTGATAACGGCCTTATATATGTCATTGAGTATACAAGTAGACTCGTACGTCTGAAATCCTCGGGAGATTCAGGGTGTTTTTTCTTGGAAATAAGGACAATCTCAGTGTTCTCGATCTCTCTGATCCTCCATGGCGACTTTGAAAATGCACTTTAAGAATTCCACAACAGAACAACCAATATAAGTCCATCAGGACCAGGAGATTTCAATGCTCCCGTTCCAAAAGTGGCTTCCTCGATCTCGACTTCCTCCAAATAGTGACCGGCTGATATTAACCTTCTGTGCCCAAATCAGATCATCTTGTAGTGTAGTTTCTTCCCGTCTCTCCCCAAAACTTTCTTTGCAAGTCTTCCAGATTACCAGAATTCTTTTCGATTTGCCAGCGCTATTGATCCCATCAAGCCTCTGATTAAGCGTCTCTTCCTTCTGGCAGCTCTTTGTTCTACTATTTAATGCCGCTTCAATGAACGTAGCCACAGTAACTACATGACCCCTCGGCGGACCCATTCCATATTTTCTTCACAGACTCTTCAAAATTAACCGGCAACAAATCGAAACAGACGTACCGCCTTCTCACCTGCCTTCTGATCTAAAGCAAGCTGAACTGGCAGTGATCACAGCATTTGATTTGGCTTTACTTTTGTTTTGATTAAAAACCAATACTAGAGGCACTTTATGTATTAAAAACCAAAAATAACTTGAGAAAAAATATTTATATGTATAACGACCTTCAATTCTGCGATTCTCATTCTCTTCCAGCGTCTGCTGAGTCACTGATAAGAATTGACTTGAGAAAGGCAAAACTGGCATACAACGAAGACTATTGCATGTATTTATACAGTATAAGCATCTCGCAATATATTACGAAATAACGGAAACATGCTCTGTATCAGTTATATGTCTTCAACATATAATCCTCAAAAAGTTGATCAGTTTTCGCTGCTTAATGAATTGTTGGCTTTGGAAGACCTGATTTCCCGTTTGTGAGAACCACATTGGAGGGCTAAATTAATCACGAGATAAATGGTGAAACAAGTTTCACCTAATGAAGAAACGCCAGGTCACGAACCATTGGGTCTCCTGTTCGGCCTGGGGGCGAGCCTGAGTAACAAGGTGAGCATCCACTACATGCTGCTTCCTTCCCATCCAAGTTCTGCAATCATAAACATACCCATTAATTAACCAGAAACCATTGAGAATGAAGTTATCTTTTCCATTGTCTTCTTCAATGTAAGGTTTTGTTTAACCACTAATCTGAACTCTTGTAGAGCCCACACGTTTCTGGGAATCATAGGAAGAACTCCACTTCTGACTGTGGCAGGCAAAAAGAATGACAAATCAGAAGCTGCATAAAAGGCAATGCTGATGATTATACTCACCTGATCCAACTTTGTTTCTTTCTGAACTGGAATGTACAAAGTCGCTCTTTACTGTATGTTTAGGCATATTTATATCATTGCCTTTCTTCTTAATATCGACGTCACAAGTGGAAGGAGCAAGTTATCTTGTGACTTTCAGTTCAATTTATTTTCATCTTTCATTGCAATGGTTCTAGTGAGGAGTAGTGGATATATTGAAAGATCGGCACATGTTTAAAAGGGAATTCCATGAGAGACAAGATTGATGATCAACAGGGCCATAGGACATTGGATTT